TTTAGAAGAAACAAAAATTGTATGGCCGCCAAAACACTATAGATCGCTTTTTTAGAACGCTGGCTACCAACCAAAATTAGTGACCTCAGATCGTCTACAAGCGGTCAACGACTACAGCATGAAACACTCCGAAAGGATTCCTGGTGTAATCATTGAAGGTGGACTCACCTTACAAATACTAATCCCCCTATATTCCCTTTCTTCCTCCTACTTCTGTGATCATCGTGTGTTACTTCATTTACAGTGTACTGGAGTTGGGAAACTACATTTTAAAATCAATCTGTTGCACCCAAGAACATAATAATTTACTTTCCATTATTTAGAATGGGGGGGGGGGGGGGGGGGGGGATTGCTTTGAAAACTGGAACGAATTGGATTTGAAACGGATATGTTCGAATTCCGGGGTACCACTGTACAAAGATGGCCAACCTGACAGAAGACACTTAGCACGTGATTTTCCAAAAGCGTCACAGAGCTTAGCAGAAAATACCAGCATTTGATATCACGACCGGTTACCTGGAGGAAACATACGCACACCCCCGGTAGATTAAAACAAGCCAGATGGGAAACAAAGACATCAGATACCAGAAAAGGTCAGCAGTAAGAACTGTGGGTACTTGGCCCGGAACCCCTAGCCCTACATTTCACAGGACGGTGCCACACAGTCTACCGCAGTGGCTCTCAACTTTCCTAATGGCGCGACCCTTTAATACAGGCCCCTCATCCTGTGGCAATCCCCTAACAATTATTTTCCTTCATAAATTCAATTAATATGTGTTTTCCGGTGCTCTTAGGCGACCCATGTGAAATGGTCATTCGACCCACACACAAAAAAGGGCCGCGACCGGCAGGTTGAGAACCGCTGGTCTACCGTGATATTTATGTTGTACTGCCTATGTTATGCTATTACATAGCTATAATCGAAGCAGTGTTGACTTAGCGATAGGACAGAATGAAGGTGAAAGAGGTTCGACGTGGCTAGATGGTGGCTCGGCATTTGCCGTATAATAAACACAGACTAAACACAAATGTTGACAACAACGGTCCTGAAATTCCACGCTATAATCGTGAAAGACATTTCTTAACACGGGCGGATCTTGCTAGTCACACTCGCCATCGCCATGGGCACTGAGTCCCATGCCACACCAGAGCACAATTTAAGACTATGGTCTGGAAAGCTGGAAAGGTGCCAATCAATCAAAGTGGCCGTCGTGGCTAGGTCGTGTCCGTCGGCTGTTATATCAGAGACGCTCAAATATACGAACGATTGAGAGTTACGCCATCAAAGGTTACAGGACAAAGAAAGATGCCACGCAGTGGACATATCCCGAGAAACAGCGCAGAGCGGGGTGGGGGAGGGGGGCAGGGTTTCCACAAACAGGCACTAAAATGGAAAGCAAATTGATTGAGTTGAGTCAAGAATTGACATCACAGCACTCGGGGCATTCCCATGCGTACTCCGTCCTCATCTTCAGCAGCTAGCGCAAAGTTCCAATACGGATGGTACCGGTCACAATCTGGATATATATCCGTCTTGACTTTCTCTGAGTGTAGTCAGCGGGCCAGACCCTCTGGTTAGACACAGGTGCCTCATTCTACACAGGCCATAATAATTTGGTTTCCCTACTGGTTCAGTTGCTTGTTCCCAAAGGGCCTTGATCACATCTGGAAAGTAAAGCCTAGCGGCGCCAGGTGTATGAACTCCACTGGGACATCCATTGCTTTTTCCCTAGCAGGTAGGCTCTACTAGGATAACCGGCTACTTCATGCTTCATTATAAATCTTTTTTTCATATCGATTTTTCATTTGCATAGCAAATGGGTTGAAGAACAACGACGTCCGCAAGAGAATCAAACCCTAAGACGAACGTTGATGATGGAGGTCAAAGGTGTTGGACTAAATTCCATGCATGATAACCAAATGATTGTACAAGAGTGGATCAATAGACTGTGAGCTCTATTTTCAGTAACAGCTGACCAAGCAATTAGGAACGCTGCGCTTTCATTTTCGGAGGCCCAAGTTTGAATCCTTGAATCTCTGTGGGTGTGAAAAAAAGGTGGGGGGGGGGAGGGTTTAACTCCTAATTTGCAGTCTGAAGCGACTGCCTTAGCCATGCGTCCCAAAATGCTAATGTTTAATAACCTCAGTTTTACACCGCCCCAAAATTTGTTTACTGGTTAAAGAATAGACATCACAGCACACCGGGCATACCTATAGAGGCCCCGGCTCCCGCAAACGCTAAGTGTCCACGTAGTACACTGGTTACACAGTCTCCATTCTTTTCCTCTCATCAAGTTAAACAGCTCTGGCTCACATTGTCATTTTCCCCTAATACGGTGTCCCTTGCTGACATACAAGGCAACAAAACAACAAGTGGCCATATCGCGACAACACCGCCTTCCACTGGTATGTGGGGGGAAGCAGTCAGGCGCATCGTTGTCAACCAGATTCTTTCACAGTGACAATGCATAAGTAGGCGTAGGGTGGTTGGCAGGGCTGCCAACACTCCCCCCCCCCCCCCAACCCCAGATCTAGGTTTTTATATGACGCCTTGTGTCAGATTTTAGCCTTATATAAAAGTGGGTAAATGTTTAGTTTCGTAACTATAACATTTGTACTATTTATCAACCTTGGTTTTTTTTTTTGGTTTCTGTTTTTAGTTCTTTGCTTATGCATTGCTTGGGTTGTTTGGTCAGCTTAGCTTGGGTTGTTTAGTCAACTTAGCTTGGGTTGTTTGGTCAGCTTAGCTTAGGTTGTTTGGTCAGCTTAGCTTGGGATTGATAAAAACCCTATTGGCAGCCCTGGTGGTGGGTATTTGGTACTTCTGCGGTCACCAACTAAAGGACAGCTTACACGTTGTTGCGATTTACAGCTAGACTGCAATAACTGTGCCTTTCAGGTCAACACATTTATTTTCAACAAACTCCCAACAAAGCCTCTGACACGTGCCTAGTCTGTCTCTGCATAGCATCCTGAAATGTTTCAGAGACAGACAAGGCATGTGCACAGACAGAAAGATACATGTACGAACAGAATAACACATACTTGTACAAACAGGTATTTTTACAAACAAAAACATCTACAAAAAGAATAACACATACTTGTACAAACAAACAGGTACTTGTACAAACAGATAAACAAATAGACACATGTGCAAACAAAATAACAATAACATGCACTGTTATAAACAAACAGGTATTTTTACAAAAAGATAGATCTACAAAAAGAATAACATGTACTTGTACAAACAAACAGGTACTTGTACAAACAAACAGATACTTGTACAATCAGAAATATAAGTACTTGTTTCAAACACACACAAAGGAACTAGTAGACATTCAGGCAGACATACAAACAACTACTTGTAAAGACAGACAGGTACTTGTGCAAAGAAACAGATGGGCACTTGTACAAAGAGACACACAGGCACTTGCACAAACAAACAGGTATTTGTTCGAACTGAGAAACAGGTTCTTATACAGACAGACAAACAGGCATTTGTACCAACAGCCACACATGCACTTGTTCAAACTGATGTACAGGTGCTGGACACACACACACACATGTCCAAACAGATATTTGTATAGTTGCACAGACAGACACATAAGCATTCGTACAAACCAATAAACAAGCACATGTACAAACAGATATGTGTACAAACAGATACCTGTACAAACAGATACGTGTACAAACAGATATGTGTACAAACAGATACCTGTACAAACAGATATGTGCACAAGCACTTGTACAAGACACAGAAGCACTTGAACAGACACACAAGCATTTGTACAAGCATATACACAAAAGATTTGCAAGACCCAGTGGAGCAAGTAAACAGAAGGAGTGCAGAATTTGGATTAGATATAAATTTGAAAAAGACAAAAACCATGATATTTAGCAAAGAAAATAATCAGCTAGCAATGAATATCACAGTGAACGTTGTGAAATTGAAACAAGTTAAACATTTCTTATATCTTGGACAAGTAATAACATTGCACAAACGACACAGAAGTGAAACAGAAGTCAAGAAAAGAATAGGGATGGCCAAAAACATTTGTCAACCAACATACAAAAGTTACTGACATCAAGAGAAATAAGCAATATATTAAAAATGAGAATTGTCAAATGTTATGTATTCTCAACCTTACTGTACACAGAGACATGGACATGAACAAACAATGGAAAATCGTATACAGAAGATTAGGTCGTATTTCATGGAAACAAAAGCTATCAAATACAGAGGTACTGAGGAAATTGGGAATGAAAAGAGAGTTGCTAGGTAATAAAAAAGTAGACAAAAAATATTTGTGTACAAAAAGACATAACAGTATTGTAAAATCATCCTACCTTTGAAAGGTTCAAGTAGGCGAGCAAAAGGCAGACAGCGTTACAAGTGGGAGGATAACAACAAGAGATGGTACAAAGTATGAGTGAGTGTACATCAAGGGCACAGACACAGGGCTTGTTGTAGATCCATTGCAGCCACACCTTCATTGTGTACGGCACCTGATTGATTGATACACAAAAACTTGTACAAGCAAATTCTTGTACAAACAGACACACAAGCACTATTACAAACAGACACTTGTATAAACAGACAGATGCGCTTGTACAAACAGATATCCAAGCACTTGTGCAAAGAGATACTTGTACAAACAGACACTTGCACAAACAGATACTTGTAAAAACAGACAGACAAAGCACTTGTACAAACAGATACTTGTACAGATACCTGTACCAACAGATAGACAAGGCACTTGTACAAACAGATACTTTTACAGATACCTGTAGAAACAGATACCTGTAGAAACAGATACTTGTATGAATAGATACTTGTAGAAACAGGTACTTGTACAGATAATTGACACTTGTACCAACAGACACTTGTACAAACAAACACTTGTACAAATAGACAAGCAGAAACATGTACAAACAGACACTTGTACAAACAGGAACTTGTAGAAGCAGACACTTATACAAATAGACACATGGGCACTTACTCATGATTGCTGTCGGGATGATAAATCCGCCGATCACATTTCCCAGCTGCCCATCACTCAATGCCCGTATCCGATGTCAGCCCTGCAAGACAGACACATACAGATGGTATGTCAAACATTTTTGGAAAACATAGGTTTTATACAAGAAGCGGCCATGGTGTAGCAGCCACACACTCGCCCGCTGGTCAGAAGGTCATGGGCTCAGTTCTTGAAAAAAATTTGATTTTAGTTCTGAGTCGACCCATCCTTAAATTGGTACTAGTCCTGAGAAGTAAAGGCATATGGCATGATGTTAACCATATCATCCACTGAGTGCTGACTGGTCTATAAAATACCCACTCACACTTAACCTCCGTCATCTGGATCTATACACCTGGTTATGCGGGCATAAAGGGTAATGAGCGAGCGGACCAACTGGCAAGCAATGCACCAAGCTTGTGGGAAGAAGCATGGACAGAGAAGATACCGCCAACGCTGTACGGACTGGGCTAGTGGATAATGAGGAATCCCTGACACTAACACGATTGCGTGACATGGGAGTAAACTATGGTGAAGCATGTCTATGCCGTCTTTGAGGCAGTATGCCAGTCAAAACCACACAAATTGCCCACTGTTGTCCCAAGTTAAAAGTCAAAAAGACAGCAGTCCCAGAAAAATTCAACAACTTGCACTGCATCATATGCATAAGGCTGCCGGTGAGGTGCTAACATCTGCACTGCCATTATAATTACTATTCACGTTCATGGAAGCAGAAGTCACAGCAAATCAGCAGCTGCACATGCATAACTGTATAAGGCATGCCTATTCTGTGGCAATCAGCCACTCTCCATTTTTTTCTGAATAGGCATTTACAACACACATCTCCAGGAGCACAGTGAATGAGCATTCCCCATGAAATTCACAGCTCACAGGGTCTCAAGATGAACTCAACTCAACAGCTAGGCCACGGAGCTAGATTTAGCTTTTCACTCATTAGTTGCCCCATCCAGCTTCCAGCGGGGGATTAAACCTCCCCCCCCCCCCCCCCTCACCCCGACAATGGGTTACTAGGTTACTAGGGCAAATAGTGTCCACCACGTGAAGGTAAGATAGGCTTGAGCAAGAAAGACAAGAGACACTCTTATGTTGCCCCTTAATATTCCATTAGGACCCCATTACACAATACATAGGTTAGTTAGACATTACTCAGTAAACTGATTACAGTGAAAAATGAATTTATAAAGAAAAGAGAATAGGAATTATTGAGGCCCCTACAGATCGCAAGGCCTCAAGTGTAGCTTGGTTAGCTTATACCAAAATTCAGCAATGATTAGAAAGTAAGGTATACTTGATCACAGAGTAAAGATTACAGTCTGTGAACTTAGTTATGACTATAATTAGTTCCTTCATTTAAAAATTAAAAAAAAAAACGGGTTCATTCAAAACTACCTGACAATTAAATCATTAAAGCCAGAGATCATAAGAAGTTACTTTAACTCAGACAACAACCATCATAAGCTGCAACAGACAAGTATCAGGTGCCTCTTAACACAGTGACTGAAATCTGTCCTCTGATGCCTGAATTATGAAGTTTTATTTTGTCTGATTTATGGTTTCTTAAGCCATTTTTGCAACAATAAAAAGCAAAAACATAATATGCTAGCTCTTTGAAAGTAAAAAGTAAAGGACCCTTTTCCACATCTTTAGGCGTATAGGGCATTTAGGGCTAGACCTATATTGTTAAAGACCAATAGGCACAATATGGGTAATGTCAGCACCATGCCAGCTGTCTTTACTTCCCGGGACTGCACCCGGTACCCACTCAAGGCTGGGTCGACCTGGGAGTGAACCCATGACCTTCTAATCTACGGGGAGCGTCTAGCCCCTCCACCATGGATACTCCCAGCTTTGACTGTAAAACATGATGAAAAAAAAAACACAGAAAGACTATAAATAAAACAAGAAGGAGCCAACCTAAGACAGTATTTATGAAGTAGCCATGAAGGCAAATGGAATTAAATAGAACAGCACAATGTAGGTATTTCTGGAATTAAATTACTATAAAATTATCAACTAAATACTTCATGACAAGGTTGATGATGATGTTGAAACTGTTATTCAGTTCAACAATATGATAATCACAACTGTTTTAGAAGTTTATTTAAAATAATTAAACTTAACAATCTGTTACAATTAACACATTATCTAATATTAAATAATAACCACAAGTGACTGAAACATAAAAAAAAAAAACTGTATTCCAATTATAACCCAGATAGGTTTAATAGGATATATTTTTTTTTGAATTACTACAACTACAATTATTGTGCAACTATTCCCATCAGGGATTGAGTAATTACTTTGGTGGGCGTGTACAAGAGTAAAATGTTTAATCTATATACATGTATACAGACAATACTTCAGTGTCCCTGGGTTGTAAGAGTTATCACAGCTCTTTATGTTATTACTACAGCTATTACACACAAATGTTGCACCATCCGGTCATATGTGATGTAATTAACAACCGTCAATTTATAACAGAAAAATACGCACTACAAGTTGATGTAATTAACAACCGTCAATTTATAACAGAAAAATACGCACTACAAGTTGATGTAATTAACAACCGTCAATTTATCACAGAAAAATATGTACTACAAGTTGGGAAAGGGGCGTGTCTGACTTTCATTTATTTTGTGAAACACTCACACATGTGACAGTTGTTCATCAATGCAACAAAGTAGCAGTTTGTGAACTACATAAAAATACAACCATATGGCAATCTAAATCACAATAAATGGCCAACGGTCACCTCAGCACAACATTACAAGTTATGGAAGGGGCGTGTCTGCCTTTCACTCATAACTGAAACAGTCACACCATGGAAGCCTCAATGAAACATGATTTCACAATTAGTCAATTATAACCACACATATATCAACGGAACAACAAATAATCTCATTATGAGTCAAAGAATTAACAATGAGCATTGTAGGATTAGTTCTAGTTTCTCTTAGACTTCAGAAGACTCTTCTCTCACCTGCTGAATTTCGAAGTCTCCCGGATAAAGTTAAAGATCAATGTTCCTGAGACAAGATGTAGATCCAGTTCAGCGTCCGTTATGTCACTGAAACATTTAGTATCACAGCTGATAACAACAATGAAATATCTCAACAACTACCGGGGCATCAGCAAATCAATCGACCGACTACCGTGTTAAAGTGAGACCGACAATCGCTGAACTGTTTCTAAACTTGTATTTTATTAATGGTTTAATAAATTAATGCCCGAATCTCTTAACTCCAGTGAAATTTTATTACTCCCCTCCACGAAAAAGAACTCACCTACACACAATGCTATAATTACATTAATCCTCTTCAAAGTAGAAACAGCTGGGACAAGCACAGAACAAGAGAGTCCCGGCGTTAGAAACGAAAATATTTGGCGAAGAAACAAGATGCGACCGTGAAATATTTAATGCTCCCTCTCCTAGCATTGTACTGCCAGGCCAGACATCTTGTGTCACGTGATACTGAGCTACAGCAAACTGATGTTCGTACACGTTTCACATTTATCAGAAATCACAAATAAACAGCATCATAGTAGTGATAATGTTCGATATATCCTCATAATATAATCATTCAATGTTCACATTTACGAAACTAGTAGGTAAATACAAACAAAAATGGAAAGGAGAGCAACTCTGATAGGAAATGAGTGTTTGTACGGATACATTCCCTTCGATTGAAAATTCCTCAATTACTATTTTAAAAAATGGGAGAGTGGGTGGGGAAAAGGGGGGGGGGGGGGAAAGAGAGAGAGAGAGAGAGAGAGAGAGAGAGAGAGAGAGAGAGAGAGAGAGAGAGAGAGAGAGAGGGCAGACATTTTTATCCACATTAAAAGACAAAACACTCTTTCAACCACCATACTGAGAGAGAAAGTGGAAGGCAAGAGAGTAAGTGGTAGACAACGATAGAAGTGGGATGACAACATCAAGAAATGGACAAAGAGCAATCTGGAAGATGCATTGCAGCATACCTTCATTTTGGAGATGGCACCATATTGACAGATGATGAATATTACTGTATTGTTAAACGATGTTTCCAGGACTGGTAGTTGTTTGATTATTATCCTTGAGACGTCAATCACATAGACTGCAAAGAAAAAAAGTTTTTAAAAAAAAAAAAAAAAGTAAGTAAAGATTAGTTTTCACGCTTTTAGGCGCATCGGGCAGATGGGAAGAGCCACCCATATATTTACAGACCAATCAGCACTATGTGGGTAATGTGGTCAGCATTACGCCTGCCGTCTTTATTTCCTAAGGACATACATCCTGGTACCCATTTTAGACCGGGTCAACCTGCGACGCCCCATACCACGATAAAAATCCACGCAGCCAGCAATGGGTTTCAATCGCGGTACTTTGGAATTACGAGTCGGACTCGCAACGTCTAAGCCACGAAAGCCGCCACAGACTGCACATGTGGAGTATTAACTCTTTTTATTTTACCCTTTAAAAAAAAACAGGGATGCGACAAGGACCAAGATTATTGACATAAGAAAGCTTGACGACCCAGATATTGGGGGTGGAAAAAGGGGGGGGGGATATGCAAAGAAATTACAGCAAACTTGCCTGAAAAATGTACAGCAAGTGATAATGTAGAATAGACATGAAAGAAATTTAAGTTCACTATTCTAATATGTTTAACAGAACACTGTGGTACTAGATACATATAAGGTTTCATACACACATATAAGATCCCATATAAAAATATAAGATCCCATACATACATACATATAAGATCCCGCATATACATATATGATCCCATATATACATTTAAGATCCCTATATACAAATGAGATCCTATATATACATATAAGATCCCAAACAGACATATAAGATAAGATCCCATATATACCGATAAGATTCCATATATACAGAAAAGATCCCACTTATACACATAATATCCCATATATACATACAAGATAAGATCTCATATATACATATAAGATCCCATATATAAA